CTCCCGTCCCGAAGAAGACCAGCCGTGTCCTGACCAAACCAGGCCAACTCGTCCAGTTCGACAACATGGGACCAATCGACCCGCCTGCGAAGTACAACGGACGCACCTACTCCTACGTCGCCAAAGCGACCGACGTCCTTACCAGAATGCGGGAAGTGTACCTACTGCGCCACAGGACCAAAACCACGCAAGCTCTGCACGCCTACAACATGCAAATAACATCTGAAGGCTACCGCATCGAGGTTCTACTCTGTGACAAAGGGGGAGAGATCACTGGGGAAGAAATGCGCAACTACTGTAGGGAGTCTGCGATCAAGCTGGAACTCGCCGCGACCAACACGCCCCAAGAAATCCGAGTGTCAGAAAGGGATGGCCAGACACTTGCGGCTGTGACTCGAGCTGTACTGCGCGATGGAGACTTCCCAAAACACATGTGGGGGGAGGTCATGGTGACTGCAGCATACCTGACCAACAGGACCCCACACGCGGAGCTAGGGGGAGCCACGCCGTTTTCCAAGATCTACAACACAACCCCGGACCTTTCTCGACTTCGTGCCATCGGCGCCCGCGCGTTCGTTCATCACGAGCGATACAAAAAAAAGCGAGACGATCGGGCCTATGAAGGCAAGCTCTGCGGTTACGGACCTGACAGCAAGACGTACCCGATCTACGTGGAGGGCAAAGACAAAGTCTACGACAGCCGGAACGTGACTTTCATCGGGACTCCACCCAACACCATCCCCCCTCATCGGTGGGACGACCGCCTCGGACATGAACAGGACGTGACGAACTTCACGTCATTGCTCGGACGCGGTACCTCTACGGGCGACGAAGACAACAAAGTGGACTACGGAACACATTCAGAGCTCCTACTGCACGAGATGCGCAACATGCAGCAAGACAACATCAGCCGAGCAAAACTCCGCCAAACAACGCGGGCGCGGATTCCGACGACGACTTTGCTGCTGGGGGAGATGAAAGCAATGACAACTCGCGGACTACGACACCATCCAGGACATCGCAGGACACGACACTCGAATCACCCACGACGCCAACAGACACGGACTCCGCTTCGCCAGCCCCCATCTCAATGCGTCGATTAACGGTGACCCGTCCTGCCACGCGCACTCACCAACCCACAGATGACCCTATCGACCCTTCATGCATCCCGAAATCTCTGGAAGTGAACATGAACGACAGGGGCCGCTCTGCCATNTCCGTCCTGCCACGCGTACTCACCAACCCACAGATGACCCTATCGACGCTTCATGCATCCCGGAATATCTGGACGTGAACATGAACGACAGAGGCC